TCAACATCGACTCTTAACACGACCGAAGGAACGAATTGTTTCCTGCAAAAGCCCACTCCCCATTCACTCCTCTTTTGTTTCCTTTGGGAGGGGCCAATCACCTCTAAGGTGTGGCTTTAGTCTTAAGTCGACCCTGCTTTCTTAGTTGTTCTTGTCTTCTGGCAGCTCTGCACATGCACACACTGGGAACAGGCTTCAGCTGTTCATCTGCCTCACTGCTGTATAGCTCTCTCTCTGCCTCCGATGCAGAGCCCTCGTTTGAGCTTTCCTCAGTCCCCTGGACTGGCCCATGTTCCTCTCCAACCTCCTCATTATCCGACTCTGCTGCCTGCTCTGCTGGCTGCTGGTGGATCACAGCAGCAACTTACTAACATGACACATCCCTAAGAGAGTGGGAAACGGGTAGTTGGATGTGAACTCTTCCATCAAGATGGAGATTTACATTCCTTAGGCAAATGTCAAGGGCATGTTGACATGGAGATGATTATAGGGAGCTATTGGTACAATGAGGAAATGTTGATGAATCCACACAACAAAAGCTCCATTTTCCAAGAAATTCATACTCTTTTTTTATTACTCAGCTAATTTCTAGTTTGAAACCTCATTAAGCCTATCTGGATTTAGTTATATAGAGAAGAAGGTATAGAACTGGAAAAGGGAGCTAGTTTGGTAGTGATTGAGGCACCAGGCTAGGAACCAGAAGACTGTGAGTTCTGGTTCTAGTCTTTCCTTAGGCAGAAAGCCTGGATGACCTTGGGCCAGTCACTCTCCCTCAGCCCTAGGAAGGAGGCAAGGGCAAACACTTCTGAACATGTTGCCAAGAAAACTGCAAAGACTTATCCAGGCAGTTTCCAGGAGCCAAAACTGACTCCAAGGCATGTATATGCATGCCTGTTTTCAGAAGTTGGGTCTTTGTTATGTGAAATGCATGATGAAATTAACTTCAGAATAAGCAAAACAAAAAGATTTAGTGCAGGGATGTCAAACTTGCTGCCCGTAGGCTGGACGCATCCTGTACTGGCCCTGCCCCCACCCGGTTTAGAGAAGGGGGGAGTCCCAATACATCACATGATGACGCCGAGACGACATGAGTTTGACAGCCTTGCTGTAGGCAGAAACTACTGATTGTACAAAATGCAATATCTAGACATTTTTCAGAAGTTCAAATTCCAAACTCCTGTTTTAGTGGCAGCTTTACAAAAGGGGAAAATGGCTTGTATCTTAGTCCAAGGTCCACAGGCCATCTGCAAGTTATCAGGAAGTGTGGCAGGGATGGGGGGAGGGGGCAAGCTTGGTAGAATTTTATGAAAAATGGTTAAGCTATTTGTGAGTTTTCTCAAGCACAGCAGGAGTGAAGGGAAGTTTTCTGGGTGGGGGAGTAAAATTTGAAAGTATCAACCCTGGTTAAACACAAGGGAAGACGTGATCTTGGACTGCCCCAGGTTTAAAGCCTTAATTTGTCATAAATGCATTCATAGGTTGTTTGAGGAGTCTCTCAAAAGACGGCATGCAAAATAAGCTGTGGTTCTGCTCTCTCCTCCTTTAGCACCTTGTGGTGGGATCCTGGCAGGGCCTTCAGGGGTTATCTTGTCCCCCGGTTACCCGGAGCCTTACCCTCCAGGAAAAGAGTGTGATTGGAAGCTGACCGTCTCGCCGGATTATGTCATTGCTCTGGTGTTTCACACGTAAGTGCCTCAGATTCCCTTATCTTAAGTCACGGATGCAACTCAGTGGTGGGATTCAGCCAGTTCGCACCACTTCGGAAGAACTGGTTGTCATTGGTGGATTGCCAATTTTGCTGCTACTAGTTCAGGAACACTCCTGTGCATGCTCCTGCTCGTGTGATACTTCTGCACATGCACAGAAGCGTCTGGGCAGGTGGGTGGAGCCTCCCACCACTGCTACTACTGCAACAACCCACCTCGGCTGGTTGTTAACTTTCTGAGCAGTTTGATGAACTGGTTGTTGGAAGAAATCATTAGGTAGAGAATCGGTTGTTAAATTATTTGAATCCCACCACTGATGCAACTCAGTAAATGGAGATTAAACCTGTTGGTTCTCTCTGAATAAATCATTTTTCTGTGCATATAGGGAGCCTGAGGGCACAGTGGATTAATGACACTCGACGTCAGCAAGAAATGTAAAATGTAAAAATGTATATCTGCATGTAAAAATGCAAGTAGATAAATAGGTACCATTCTGATGGGGAAAGCGTTCCACGCAGAAGTGGGAGCTGGGGCTGGATCTGACTCAGTGGTGGGATTCAGTTTTTTTTTACTACCAGTTCTTTGGGCATGGCTTTGTGGGCATGGCTTTGTGGGCATGGCAGGGGAAGGATACTGCAAAATCCCCATTCTCTCCCCACTCCTGGGGGAAGGTTCCTGCAAAATCCCCATTCCCTCACCACTCCAGGGGAAGGATACTGTAAAATCTCCATTCCCTCCCCATCCCACTAACCTGCTTCCCAGCTCCATTCTCCTGTTCAGGGCAACAAAAGAAGATCAGCTGGGAGGCAGCGGGGATGTGGCCAGCCTATTTGCCCGCTCTTCAAACTACTCAACATTTCTGCTACCGGTTCTCTAGAACCTGTCAGAACTGGCTGAATGCCACCTCTGATCTGACTGGAAGCGAGGCAAGGTTAGCAGAAGAAAGTAAAATGCCCCGAATGCTGCTATCCAGCTGGTGCAAAGCTAGTTCACCCCCCTGTGTGTACCATGAATAGTGCACTTGCATGAACAAAACGAACTAGCAATCTTAGGCTACCAGAACTCTTCTGTGGTAAAAAGCATTGTAGATTTCCTTGACTATACATACACCCCCCCAAAAAAAAACCCCACCCCCCAAAACACCTTTCTGTATTGTTACTGCTTGTGAAAGTTTCCAAACAAAGAGCAACTGGACTTAGCAGTTGGACTTATATACCGCTTCATAGGGCTTTCAGCCCTCTCTAAGCGGTTTACAGAGTCAGCATATCGTCCCCACAGTATGGGTCCTCATTTCACCCACCTCTGAAGGATGGAAGGCTGAGTCAACCTTGAGCCAATGAGATTAGAACCGCTGAACTGCAGATAACAGTCAGCTGAAGTGGCCTGCAGTACTGCACCCTAACCACTGCACCACCTCAGCTCCTAGGGGGTTGATTCACAGACATNAATAGAGCTAAGTGTTAGTGAGGTATTTGGATGGATGGATGGATGGATGGATGGATAGATAACAATATTATGAAAGAAATATGAGCAGTGACTACAGTAGGGGTCCTCAAACTTTCTAAACAGGGGGCCAATTCACGATCCCTCATATTGTTGGGGGGGCAGACAAGCTGGATGGGCATTGCTAAGTGGTCATGTGACTAGGAGGCATGGTCAATTTAGCAGTCCAAACAATACACACAAATTAGACTTTAATTTGTTATGCTCCTGGGGGTAGAAATCAGGTTAGTGAAGGGGTGTGGCCACCTTGGGGTGTGTATGAAGGACTGTGTGTGTGTGTGTGTGTGTGTGTGTGTGTGTGTGTGTGTCCCTCTCTCTGGAGGCTGAGGAGGCAAAAAACATGCCTGGTTTTGGCCTGCAGAGGACTCAGTGCATCCCGTTTTTGGCCTTCTCAACCTCCAGAAGGTGGGTAGGGGCTAGCGGTAGGCAGGATGATGTGGGCAGGGTAGCCTCATGGTCCCACATGGGCCAGATTAATGGCTTTGGTGGGCCATATCTGGCCTGCGGGCTGTAGTTTGAGGACCCCTGGACTACAGTAACAAATGGCACTGCAAGCATGCGTTGGTTTATCTCAGCTTCATTTGTGTCAAAATCCAAATCAAGATAAAGCCAAGTGCATTTACCTGCAAATGAAGAACCAAATTATGGGCAACAAATTTCTGAGTAACCCATTTTCACTGTCCACAGTTTAGCAAAGACTTGACAAGTCCTAAGAATTAGACATAATTGGTTGCCAAAAAAAGTTTCTTGTCTTCTCCATCACTAGCTTAAATTGAATTGGTCCCATCTGACTCTATTTTTTGTTCACTGCTATTCTGGTGATCGCTCCTCTAATTTTATTGCTTTAAAAAAACCTCAGACGTTTCTATTAAAAACTACTTATTTTAAACTCCTGAGCTTTAAAAAGGAGGGGGGGGAACCAGGTTTCATTTCAGACAACATTCAAGGTACCCTGACCCATCTCTAAAAGAATTGGACCTACCATTCCATGCTTAAAGCGAAATCCCTCTCAGGAAAATCCCCCTCCTCCCACAAGGGGTGGGGGGAGGGGAAGAAGACAATGTGAACATTATAATTTATTGGATAGTGTAGACAACATAGGGTTATAGCCAAATGCCTGGTAAAATTAGCAGATGGTTAGATGTAATAAGCAAAGAGGAAAGTGTGCTGAAATATACATGCATATGATCTCCATGCAAAAGACTTAGATTTGTTAATCCCTACAGCCTTTTCCAGCTGGAGAAAGAAAAGTTTGAACTCAGCAATGCATGTTTAAGCATGCATCCTGGTCCAATTCTTCCATATATCTGCGTACTGTAACTCAAAGGAAATTTGTGCATGTACAAAATCTTCTCTCATTGTCAAGATTTCAACTCTGGGCTATAATGATGCAAATAATCCTAAAACACAAGATACACTGCATTAGGTATCAGTTGTCTATGAGATGGAGTTTTCATGAGTGGTTGATATGTTTTAGCTACTTAGCTGCTGAGGAGCTAAAACACCTCACTTATTAGATTGTTTAGTATGCAGTTAATCCTTGACCTTGAACCAATTGACTGTTCACAGTTATGACAGCCTTGAAAATGTTCCTATCTGGCTGTCATAAAACATTGTGCCACTCCCACCCCCATTGTTACATGACCACATTTCAGGTACTTTGCAGCTAACTCTAATCTGCAACTCTTGGCCAAGCATCTTGCAATCATGTAATCGTTGTTCACAATGTTCTCTACTGGCTTCCCTACAAAGTCAGTGGGGAAACCGGTAGGAAAAGTAGCAAGTGGAGGGGATGGAGCAGGGATGAAATTCAGCAGGTTCTGGAGAATCGGTAGCGGAAATTTTAAGTAGTTTGGAGAACTAGAAAATTCCACCTCTGGCTGGCCCCAGAGTGGGGTCAAATGGAGATTTTGAAGTATTCTGGTTGGTTGGTTGGTTGGTTGGTTGGTTGGTTGGTTGGTTGGTTGGTTGGTTTATTCGACTTGTATGCTGCCCTTTTCCCGAAGGAACTCAGGGCGGCTGACAAACCAGAAGGGAGGGGAACAAATACAAAAAAGTAAAACAAAAACAGATCAACAATACAAAACAATTTAAAAGTCACAACAAGCACAACCAATTCGAGTAGGGGTGGAATTCAAAAGCCCCAGGCCTGCTGGAACAGCCAGATCTTAATGGCTTTACGGAAAGCCTGAAAGGCGGCGAGGGTACGAATCTCCACGGGGAGATGGTTCCAGAGGGCCGGAACAGCCACAGAGAAGGCCCTCTCCGAGTGGTCGACAGCTGGCATGGACCGGCACATGGAATTCGGAGAAGGCCTAATCTGTGGGATCTAATGGGTCTATGGGAGGTAATTAGCAGAAGAAGGTCTCTCAAGTACCCAGGTCCAATACCATGTAGGGCTTTATAAGTGACGACTAGCACCTTGAAGCGTATCCGGAGACCAATAGGCAGCCAGTGCAGCTCACGGAGGATAGGTGTAACGTGGGTGTAACAAGGCGCACCCACAATTGCTCACGTGGCTGCATTCTGGACAAGCTGAAGTCTCCGAACACTCTTCAAGGGCTGCCCCATGTAGAGCGCATTGCAGTAGTAATAGCAATAGCAATAGCAGTGGACTTATATA